GTCTTTTAGCAACAGCATCCATTTACCGTCAGGAGAACTGCGTGCTCACTTTTCACCCTAATTCTATTAAAATGTTATTGACTTATACATTCGAACGTTGATGAAAAAGATGTCGTTGAAAAAAAAAACAATTCGTAAGATTACACCAAAAATAAGTGATTGTTTTACTATTAATTACTAGTGAGATATCAGTGTACGATCATTACATTAGTGCTTGTTATTGCTGGTCTGTATTGATATTGCTCCAAGTATTAACCAACTAGAAAGTCTTACAGCTGTCTTTTTAAAAAGTCCGGCCTTTATTCGCCCATTGCTGGACCCAGGCCTCCTTTCATCCTCTCATCTCTAAGAGGGATTTTGAGCACAGGAGAGTCTACACCAATGTGTCCGTGTTGGGGAACTTCACATATTTTCAATTTTTTTTATATCCGTCTGGTTCACTTTCGGTTTACCGCCAGGTATGTAGTAAATTAGCACCTAAACTTCGAATTATAAACTTCGTTCATGCCAGGCGGGGACTAAACGGAATGATTATTGAATTTTCTCTTTTTACCGTTATTGATTACCCCAATTAACTCTGAGAACTTCCATAAAATCTATTGGCTATACATTGCTAGTACAATTAATTGTAATTAATGCAGCGAATTGTAACGTTTTGATTTTAAAATATTAATTTAGATAACTTTTAGATTCAATTATAAAAAAGTGGCGAAAATACGAGTATCTGAAAGATGACTACATGTTAGTGCCATTTGCTGTAGAGATTTTCGGTCCGTCGGGTTCAACTGAAGGTTCAAGGCGGATAAAGTTCCTAAAGGAACTTTATCCGCTATTGGTCGTCGCTGCTGGTGATAAGATGGCTGGATTTTTTCTCGCTTAAAGATTAAATTAATATAGCCATTTATCAATTCAACGAGAAAATACAGCCAGTGTTCTTGGCAAGATACCACGGGGAGTAAAACTGTATGATAGTTTAAGTTTTAAGTTTTAGTTTTTCTTTATTACGAGTATAGTTTTTTAATTTTGTATATTTCATTAGATATCAATAAATTTTGTGGAATAAAATATTAAATTACCACCGTTATGTACTTTACTTGAAACTAACATAGCCTTCATTTGACCTTCGAAAAATCATTCGATCCAAACCTTTCAGAATCTAAGTGATGCCTCGATTCTTGTATGTGACCAACATTTAGAGTAACATATAACATCCATTTTCACTTTTCGTCACGTAAATGTAAACGAGTCCAAATGATTGCGTATGCGTAAACGCATGTTATTAACGTTTCGACATTTGAACTCGATACGAGAATCGAATTGATTTAATTGTCCTTAGTATAAACATGCTTTGTTATTTATCTCTCCCTGCCAACATGCCGTGACAGCAACAGACACATGTAATCGATTTACTTGAAGAATCTTAAATTTTATTACGCAATGGCTACAATTTAACTACCTTTTAGATAGATTGTTAAAATAGTTTAATTTTTTGGTTTTTTGTTTGCATTCACTTTTAAAACAACTGAAAACAAAAAAAAAAGCAATATTCATATTTCTAAAGGATTGCAACCAGTTTTCTTTTAGTAAAATAAATGAAACATAAAATTCTAAAGTATTATGGACGTGGATATTACTTTACCTGTATTGAGTACTTTCAGTTTATAAAAGACAAATTTTTACACTTTATAAAAGAAAAATTTAAATTTTTTTTACAAATACCGATACGAACGAAAATAGCGAATATCTTAAATCGTAGATCCAAAACCTCCATTCTTCTGATCGCATTAACTACTCGTTATGAGAAAAGAGAAAAGTGCAAAATAATAGCATTCCGTGGGAAATAGTCACAATAGCTTGAATATGTCACATTGAATGTTTCACTGTATTTTCTAATTACTAAATGAATGATGAATACTTAGCACTCTAGTTAATCGGTTATGTTCTTAATTGATGTAGCAATGAAGAATGAAAGAAAAATTTACAATAATTTCATTTTATTTCAGATAGTTCCGGTCTTACTCATTGCTGCAATCGCAAGATATAAATGTGAACCGATTTCCGGATATAACAATTATGGAAATAGTGCATCGCAGTTCGGAGACCTATTGAAGCCTCCCCCTCTTCCGCTACCAATTGCACCTGTGCCATTCCATGGGGGGAAAGCACAGCGTCAAAATACCAATTTTGGATATCATTACCAACCTGCTCCTCTAATTACACCAATCCAACGGCCTTCAGATTTTAAGCTTCCTGCTCCATTTTACAAACAGTATAACTTTAACTTCGTGCCTGCACCTCAGCCTTTTTCAACAACTCCTTCCCCTTCCTTGTTCCAAAAAATATCGGGATGGCTCTTTCCTTCCCAACAGGTTAATACTAAAGTAAATAACTATAATAGCGAGTCATCAAATAAAGATTGCAATCCCTGTAATTTAGTGCCATGGATTCCAGTGATAAAATATAACTTAGGAGAAACAAATTCTCAACCAAGTTTAAGTTCCAATTATGGCCCTCCAAGTTCAACAGCTCTCGCTCAAAATTTAGTTCAGTTTCGTCCACAACCATTCGACACAACAAACCAAGATCAGAGGCTAAACCAGCTTTTACTTGAAAAACCAAATATTCCTTATGAGATCTCAGATCAAACACAATTAAGTAGTAATATTTTTACAAACCCAAGTTCGACATATGGACCACCAAGTGCGACACAACAAATATCAATTTCATCACTAAGTCCTTCTAGTTCAACATACTCTATACAAAAATCATCGTATGGATTGTCGAGTACATCAACAAGACCACATAATTCCGTGAACGGATTATCCTTTCCTTCCTACGATTCTCCTACTTCAACACAAATACCTTCCTCTTATGTAACACCATTGTCATCTGTTACTGTAAGTCATGAAGTTAAAACTCTTGTTCCAATTTCTCAAACTTATATCCCTGTAGAAAATGATCTCGAAGTACTTAATACTGCAATACCATCCGAAAATATACAACTTCCGAAAGTATCTCATCCGATAGGCTTCAAGAATTCTTATGGGGAAGATATTACCAACAGCCACTCATTGGATATCCCTTATTCACTTACAGCAATTGGTGCTGATTCAACTAAAATTAAAACACATAATAAATTTAACTCATTAGAACCAAATGTTTCTGTAGCACTTGCAAATCCTGCCCCTTTTTCATTAAATAGAGGCAGAAATATTCACACTTTGCAACCAGTCGCTCTACCGAATTTAAGTGTATCTCCTTTGCCTCCCATTTTCAATGCTCGACCATTTCGTCCCATAGCCTTTCCAAATTATCCATTCAGGTTAGCACATGATATAAACTACGTCAAAAAAACTTCAAACAATATTAACGTAGCGAAAAGCGTACCAGTTGCAGAATTTGTTCATTCAATTGAATATCCTACTACCATTATTGAGTCGCCGGTTATAGATATAGATGCTACAAAATCTACATCCAATCATAATAAATCTTTTAGAAATATACCTAACAGTTATGTAATTGATGAAGTTCGAGACATATCTCCCCAAGCTTCAGAAGATCATGTATCAGCAGCTACAGCAAATCATGATGTAAGTTTTGAAACAACTGGTGCAGAATTTGGAAATAATTTTTCCGAAAACAAATTACCCTTGGATATGAAACAATATTCCCATGTGCCCGCAAATCACAAGCCAGACTTTGCTGATTTAAGAGGAGCTAAAGATGAAGATGTCGATCGATACCGTACTGAAAGTAATCTCCAGAGTATTGATTCACCTCTTTTGTATCTAAAACCCAGTGCACCGCATAAGAATTATGAAAATTTTGTATTAACTATTTCCACACCAGCAAGTCAGAAAGAGTATGAAATGTATGACGATATTACTACTACAGTTGCACCTAAACAATCTAATATTTCTGATGATTTGGATGAAAGCAGAAAGTATTATAGAAAAGATTTGCCAACGTCGACTAGTGAACATGAAAATCACCCAAAAATTTTACAAATAATTGTTCCTTATATCATGGAACAAAAACAAGGAAAAAACAATAAAGAGTTGGGATCAATTTCACAGGAAGTGCAACATTCATTGACAAAGGAAGAGTACCAAGGCAGAAAAGTGCCCGTAAATACAGAAATATCAAAATATAGCAACGACATAGAAACTTCAACGGTTTTAAGTACAACGACAGAACAGCAAAGTACATCAACCGTAACGGAATATTATGAAACAGAACTACCGAATACGCCAACTGTGTTGAGTGATTTTTACAACGTTAATGATCCAACATTTGATATAATTAAATTGCAACACACTATTGACGACTGGACTGAACAAGAATATTCTAATCACTACGCGACACCTGATAGAACACGATCCAACGAAAAACATGCCAAACAAATTCCTGATGAATTCTTGACCACAATTAATCCTTATTCTCACCAAAATACTGCGACAAATGATTACAATTATGACGATTTTGATCACGAAGGTTCTAGTAGTATTCAATATTCTGTCGCAGATATAACAAATGGTACGTTTCTCAAATCACAAAAAGAATATAATACAATAGACAGAATAAAAAACAAATCTGAAACAGGTAAAGATCTTGATGATAATCAAAAACTGCGTATATATACAGCAGCATCTTCTTTCCGTGGTACTACTACAACACTTGCACCGTGGGGTTCTATACAAACTTCAATATCGCCTTTAACGAACGAAAAGGTGTACGTTGTAACATCAAAACCTTGGCGCGATAAAACAGCCAAAACAAATGAATTTGATGACAAGTTTGAGTCAAAAAAAGCTAGTAGTGACGGTGACGACAGCATAACTGACAGTTTTCCTTTTAAGTCACCAAGGTTTGTCAGTCGTCCACCTTTTGGCTTTAAAGTGTCTGGACCAGCCTTGCTAGACTCAATTAAATCTGATTCATCTTACGGCTTTTCCAAAGGCTGGCATCAAAGTAGTAAGGATAATTTAAATTATAATTAATTCTTCATATTTCTTAATTTCTGTTAAAAGATAAACCAACATTCTGTCTTCTTTCAGTAAACAACTTGCGCAGTCTTGACCAAGGCATACTTTCGCTAGAAAGGCCCGATGAGAGAGTTCATGTTAAAACGGATGAGGTTTATATCATTTTATGTTCTTTTTTTGTATATTATTATCATAAAATATGCTACCATTCTACATATGACAATAATATCTGGTTTATCCTCTAGTAAATCCTTTATTTAGGTCCAGATATGATTCAACAATTTATAACTTTCCATTTTACTCAAATATACTTTTCCTCAAAATCCGGGGACAAAGTATGTGTACATTTCTTACATTGGTGTATGTAAGGTATTTTTTTCATTCCAGGATACTGCAAAAAGTGAGGACTTTGACGATAAATAATGGAGAGCTAAGAACTTAGTCCGTCATTAACAAGCACAAAATGATTAAGTGAGTGCATGTAAATGATAAAACTCCCAGTGTAAAAGTGACTTAAACTTTAAGGAAATTGCAAAGACTATGAAAATTCAACGATTGTTATTTTATAAATAAAATTGTTGAATTTTATATAATGTCAAATTAAGGAGAACACGAAAAGGTCGTGTTCTCTTTTATCTGACTTTAAAGTTAAGTTAAGATGAAGTATTAGGAACCAAAGTATGTTTGGAGCAAATGATATAGTATTTTATAAATTTTTACAAAGATTAACTTTGTGGTATTTAGAGTATAAATTTAGCAGTTTATTTGCAATTTGGTATCCAAAGCATGATTAACCAGCGGATTTATGGTGAAATAATTACTCAACTAGATAACATTTGTAAATATATTATGTGTATACATTATTTTGTAAATAAACAATCAATGAAAAATTACATTTATTTTATTTATAAAACTATTGATCCTAACTTAAAAGGTAAATGATAATACATATATACAGATAACAATTACTTAATGGTTTTGATCTTCATGATGTATCGATAGCTTCTTCTGAGTTTTTCTTCTTTAGTTTGAAGTAAAGAAATTCAATGCTCCATGATATAACAGTGGCGAATGTAACAAAATTTAACACAATTATGGGTATTCTGTAGCTACCGGAGGCTTCCCGAATTCGACCTGAAATTTTTTACAACATTAAGGGTCAATTTTAAAATAGTCAGATAAAATTTATCCATCAAATAAATTACAACCTGACTGAATTTAAAAGTGTAACAACTAAACTATTTTGTTAACGCAAATGTAATTTTTAATTTGTATATGTTGTATTTTATACTTTAAATAACTAGGATTTAAAAATCGACCCTAACTAAAATGATACTTGAAATTACTCATAAATTCATATGAAATAGACAAATTAAACTTCAGGTGGATGGTGTGATCGCTTGTCACCCTTTTACTATAAAAAAGCTCAGTAGCACAGTCGCTAGAGATATGCTATGTTGCTGCTGAGCCGTGGGTCCGCTTTCCGTACGAAATAAGTGTTTATAAAACCTTTAAATAATTATCCTGTTAGGGTGTTTATTAGTGTAGAGTTTTTTTGTATGAAACGCCTACATGATATAAGAGAAAATCCTAATGTTTTAAAGCATAGAAATAATAATAATATTTGGGTATGAGTATCGTAAGAGGCGATAAAGGGAAACTGAAACAAGAGATGGGCAGCAGTATCTTTTTATCTACTTAAAATAATGAAAATCTGCGGCTGCCAACCCGCCTGCCAAGCGAGGAAGCTATGGCGAAATTCGCCTTATGAGGCAAGCTATGGGGGAGGCCTATGTTGGACATATATAGTCTGTGATATGTTATGTTTTACTGAAGATGCTAGTTCATTTATTAGTGATTTGTGGTTTTAAAGAATTTTCCTAACCAAAATATTGCTGTAACGGATTGTAAAGTTATACTGATGTAGTTTCAAAGAAATAAATTTTCCGCACATTATTTCTTTGACAAGTTTATTATCGTGAATTAATAAACTGTTTACGCTTCGATGAAATATTTCTATAATTCATTCCTCTAATCAGATATCAACCTATTTACTCGAGATTAGTTCAACTCAAAACCCAGAAAACCAACGTGAAGCAAAAAGCCGCTATGCGTCATCGAGACTTAGCTGGACGTATCTGCTGAATGACATACGAGTTTCTGGGCCAAAATTGCTGCTAAATAGGTCCCTCAAGATGCAAATAAAAAACGGTCTCAGGTGGAGATGAAGGGATAAAGAGAAATTCAAGCAATAGTTGGATTAAAAGTGTTTTGGATATAAGCACAATGTAAGCAATAACACAAACTGAAAACAAACTTAAAAGAACTAAAAATAATATAATTTTCACATAAAATAATTTCCACAAAATTTAACAGTTTGTGAAATTGTGTTATTACAATATGTCTTAGCACTGGGATTATACTCTTTTTTGTTTTCTTTAAAGTCTATTTTTTCTTTGTATACTTAATTTCTTTTATTTTAAGTACTGATTTTGCATATTATGGGCGATGAAGGAAAACATTGTGAGGAAACCCGCATTCATGAGGAATACCTATTTAGAGGAAAAAAATATACTACTGGAGTGCGGCGCACTAATCGTTCCGTAATACTCGTAAATACGTAATACGATGAGATTTGAATTTCGATAGATGTTTATTTATTTATTTACTTATTTAATTCTAATATCAGTGCCATAGGCTTCTACTCCGTTCACATGGTACACCCTATTTTTTCCAAACGGTAATAAATGTCATCCAGTATATTACGTACATATGAATATAAATAAATAACATGTATAAAATATGTATATAAATACGAATGAGCTGCTAATGAGATAATTCCGCCAGTTTAAAAAACTGTGAAGTTCTTGAATGATTAGCGATTGTTAACCATTCTAATTTCGAGAGAGAGTGCATTCCAGAGAAGAACAAATGTATAGTAAAGGATAAATACTATAAAGAAATATAGAAAGCCAGATTGTTGAGATGGCCACTTAAGAAAAATGGTTATTTAAAAAATGCAGTTTTATATCACGGCTGGAGCAAAGGTACTGAATGGGGAGCTAAGTAAGGAGAGGGAGAGAGGATTTGACGACGTCGGTATAGAGGGTGGTGAGTGCACGTATACTTGGTCCTTGACAAAGGGATGTAGTCACATAAATTGAGAACGGTAAGTAGGCACATGTTTATACTTACGAATAATAAAAAGAACAAAAGAAGAAGAAAATAATCGAATGAAGTTATTAAGAGGACGACAAGCAGATCTACACTCAGGTGAAAACAACACACATCACCGTAATCAATCAAGGAAAGAATTGAGGATTGTACCATTAATGTTTTGGTTCTGGATGAAAGAAAGGTTTTCAGACAGTAGAGAGACATTTTTTTTGACTTTCTTGATTAATTATTTGGGCATGTCAGTTTAAAGTGGAGTCGATTTTTAAGCCAAGGTTTTTGACAGATGTGCATAAATACAGAAAAAAGTCATTTAAATTATTTGGGGATAGAGCTGTAGTGTCTATTTTTTTAATTATGCATTAACTATCTACTATTTTGTCCTGCCACTAATTGTAATGAAGGCGTCATAAAAGTCAATTTAGATAAACCAAGCCTCTCAGACAGACTTTGAATACGCTTTAGGTTCCTATTGACCATATCTATTGTTTTACTCACAGGCGAATGTTCATTGTATACCGCGGAGTTGCGCGACGGATACGCAATATATACAAAAAAAAATCAATAAGATACAAAATCAAGCTTGATGCCGATGAACCGTCAATGCAGAACGACTGCTGATGTCCCCGAAGATAAGAAACAATGCTGCGCTTCGGGAGAATATACGACACATAATGAGAAAAGATAAAAGTAGGATTTCATGACTGATGGTATTGATGACATAGAAAATATCGACCAAAGTCAGCACATTGTTTTTGGTGCTCTTCATGCCCGCCCTATATTATCACTAACTTTAAGAAGAGCGGAATCAGTGCTGCCAGACTGATGAGAGCGTTCCTATAGAGAAACTGAGGAAAATTCAATTTCTAAGGGAGTGGAATAGAGTGTTACGGACACCTGAACTAAAAAAAATAAAATTGCCATTTTTCGTTTCTTCAAAAATCTACTCTTAGGGTCTTATAAAGCGGGTGCAAAGTTTTTTATGTAAAATATTATATTGAAAAGTTTCTTCGTATTTTGTTTTATTTTATAGGAGAGTGAGCAAACGAGCATACGGCTCACTAGATAACTGAACAACTGCAACACCAGGGGAATTACCGATGCATTGCCGGCCTTTTATAAACGGATAGGCTCTTTTCTTGTAGGTCCCTAAGTCGTATAGGTTCCGAAAAATCTCTGGTGGTAGTTGATTCCACATTTATACAATCATATTTTCGAAAAATTTCTTCGAAAAATACTGTTTGTATATGTCTGTCTCAGTTAAGTCAAAAATCATTTATTCAACTAGGATATTATATACTTTGTGAACGTCGTTCATTAGCCGAGGGGCCCTCAGAACTTGGGGGCCTCGGGGCACTGCCCCGCCTAGCCACGAACGCCACTGAGGGGAATACATTTAGGCTGGAAGTGATCGGGTAAAGTCGGATTAGAAGTTTTAGGCAAGGGAAATAGACTAGGCCATGCGCCACAGTGACTTCAAAACTCCGGAATATAGGGAAAGTTTTATAATATGGGAGATAACTGGAAGAATGTGGTCAGGTTATAGATACCGCAGCTACATCATGTACGATCCGGCAGCTGATACTATAGAACCCAATAGTGTTTGATTTACTGGAAAGGACTATCTTTGTAATGTTATCCAAAGTAACTGAAGAAAAATGGAAGGGATCTACATAAGTATTTACGTGGTAGAGCCATGCTGCAGCTATATTAATTGTATAGTTGTAGCACGAATGGGTCGGCTCGAACGGGAAAGGACCACGCTCTCACAGAATACCAGCATCAAATAGCAGCTTAATGCTGCTGTGTTTCGTATGGTGAGTGTAGAGAACCGGAGACCCTTTTTACTGGAAAAGAGGCATTCCATCTTAGTCCTCAAGGCTGACAACGCATCTTCATTTTGATTCGTAAACGAGGATAGATGTAGGATGTCTATGGGCCACAGCAACCAGTGCTCGCTTGTCAACCCTTTCCTATTAAAAAAAAGTAATTAAAAAATCAAGCCATTTAAATAATCAACAGTTTGACATTTGGTTTGGAGATCCAGAGGAGTAAAGGAGACAAAATGACTATTAATATCATTCAAACCATTGAGTTATACAAAACTATAAATCAATGATTCAAACCAAGTACCCCTTAAAGCCCGAAACGAGGCTTTTTACCTATTCCGGGGGTCCCAACAAACTTCCAAACATCGGCAGAGGAAGAAAAAATTATGTAAATATTTTACAGATAGAATTTATTTTAAA